TACTAACTGACTCGGTATAGGAGACCACAGAACCAAATACATCTCGGTTATTTAGAAATAGCAGCTGTTATGATAATGGCTCATTCATTCAACATTAAAGAGTCCTTTCAGGACCAAGCACTGCTTAAGGCACAGAGCATACAGCCAGCTTCAAGGACTCCTAGTGCTGCGGACACGACAATCTTTTAAATGGTTGGTGTTCAGGCTGAGTGGAGCTGGTGGAAACAGGCATTGGTTTCAGGATGATGGGTCATCTCCTTATTCCTTTATCGTATGTCGTGTTTCCTGACAAAGTGCTCTAATAAGATCACATAATTCCGACCTCTGTCACCTTGTAACATCAAAATTAAGTGAAGGCATAGTCATCCTGAATAGAGAAATCCTTAGGGCGGGAGAGGAACATGCAGCTGTGGTAGAACAGCGGGTTATCTTCGTGTGGAGTGGTTGTTACTGTTGCTCCTGTTGTAGCTGTTGTTTTCTAACTATCTTGCCTGTTTGTGTTTAAGGTGATAATGTTATACCGCGCTGATGTTCTGCTTTGGAAAAAGTAAATCGATATTTTCAATAACTGTACCATTTGTATAAGTAGATAATCATCTCCCTACACCCATTGATTCAGGAGGGCAATAGAGCCAAAGCTGTTTCCTCTCCTCGACCATGAGTACACAGCTCAATCTGCTGTTTTTATTCTTCCACAGCAGAAAGGTAAGTGTGCAAAAAGCTGGAAAGTGTGTGTCTCTGGCAAGTAAGAAAAGAAGTGGTTTAAATGCACAATTTCCATAAGGAAGCTTCACTCATCTCATTATAACTGATTGAAATTGTATGAAATTTTATTTATTAAAGATGAATCTTAAATTACTGGAATAATATGGGGCTAAATATTGTTACATGTATATACATTTTGAATAAATGAAACTTTTAAGTACAGAAGGGAATGTTTGATAATTAATGTTATTCTATTGTTAATACAAAAACTATATCTCTTATATTTTTATGTAAATCCAGGGTTACATATGTATTAACATTTTGAAATTCAAAATCATATTTCTAAAAATACACAATAAGAAAAACATCTCACATATTAAATATGTTTTTCCCTGAATGGTGTTACTCTGTGTTTTTTACTTTTTAAGTATAATTATGTCTTTATGTATTTTCCAGCATTCTGTTCCAAGAATGGTCATGCATAATCTTTATAATGAGAAAAGGAATGTAAAAATAAACAAAAGAAACATATATGTGACACTTATTTTTAAATGGATATATATATTTTTAATGTGGATCTTCAAGGCAGGCTCAAAACAAGTCTGGGAATCATCTGATCTAGTTTCCCAAACTGCCCTCATTTGCACATCAACTCTCAACTCTGCTTTTTTGCCAAAATCTGTGTATGACCTTTATCCTATATATTTTAAATCTTATTATTTTTACTTCAAAAGATTAATTGAAAGTGAAATTTTATATCCCAATCCCACCTGGAAAGTGATCATAATTTATGAGGAGAAAAAGAAAGCATAAAATAAATATAATTAACATAAAAATATTAAATGCCAGCCAAATACCATTCCTCATTCAAAAGTTCTGATCCTGAGGTTTGTTTACCTTTTGTTTTAAAAGGAAGATCAGCAGGAGTTCGAGAGGTTTAAAGATAACCTAGCACCAAACTGAGAGTTTCTCTTTGTAATAAAAATGCTGAAGTAGATTTGAAAAGGGAATTACATTGTGAAAATGTGACTCTATATTAATCTTGATGCTCTTGCTACTTACAGACATTTCCTATGCTGTTATGTCTCCTATGTGTCACTTTGGGAACTACTAGTCTAAACCAGCTTGGGCAAATGGAGCGAGCAGTAGCTCCTTTTAAAAGATCTCCAGAATTGGAGACTTCACAATTTTGTTCATAATTCTTTACGATGAGTACCGAGGTGATGGTACAGTTCAGTAAAATCCCAGGACAACTGAACACTGCTGTCCCACCATCGTCATTAATCACATTCCCGTTTACACCCCAACTGTCCTGATTTGGGACAATCCACTATATAATCACCGGGTTGGTTGGTCACCTGTCCACCATTTTCTGAGCACCTGCTCTGGACCTGGCTCTGTGATAATGACTGGAAATAAAAGGTAAGATAGTTCCTAGCCCCCCAAGAGCTCAGGAATGGAAGGTCAGGGCAAGGAGGGGAAGGGAACCACTTGAGGACAATACAAAGTGATGAGAGTCACACACAGGTCTACGCCGTGTGCTGTTGGGACCTCAGGGAAGGAGGGGGTCAGAGGAATGAAAGGAACACCACAGCTTCCTCAGTGAAAAGGGCAGGGAGACCGGCTGATCAGCGATGTCAGATCAAGGGATCAGCTCCACAGAGGCAGGCAGGCCTTTCCCTTTTAAAACAAGGTATTAATTTGCATCCCTACCTGTTCCGGGAACTGGTGTGGTAAGGATTAAAGTGGGAAAAACACATACAGTCTCCGGCTCATTTTTTTTTCAGTGGTTATAAGAAAGCCTGCCCTGCCTGGCGAATATTGTAATGTGTAGAGATAAAAATGTGTGCGGAGGAAGGCTGTTCTCCACAATGTACTAGTTTTAAAACATAAATTGGATCATATTACTTCCTTGCTTAAAGTCCTTCATAGGTTGCCCGACCAGTGTGGCTCAGTTGGGTGAGCACTGACCCAGGACCAAGAGGTCGCTGGTTTGATTCCAGGTCAGGGCACCTGCCCAGCTTTTAGCTGGATCCCCAGTGGGATCGATGTTTCTCTTTCATTGATGTTTTTATCTCTTTCTCTCTCCCTTCCTCTCTCTCTAAAATCAATAAAAACGTATTTAAAAATAAATAAACTTAAAAAAAACAAATTACCCTTCATAGTTTGATCCCTGTTTTCAGAATAGAATCCACACTCCTTCCCATGGCCCAGAGGCTCTGCCCTTCGTCTGCAGCCGCAACTCCTGCTGCTCTCACTCTAGCTCACTACGCTTCGGCCACCTTCAAAAAACCCAAGTTCTTTCCCACTTGAGCTCTTTCTTGAGCTTGGCTGTTCCCTCTGCCTGGAGCACTCTTCCTCCAGGGCTTTGAAAGTCTGACTTATATGAAGGGAAAATCCACCTGAGGAGGACACCGACACAGAGGGAAGTGAGCAAAGCCAAGAGGCCAGCAGAGAGGATTTCTGCTGAGGCCACAGAGCGCCCGGGTGATCAGCTGCATGACAATGGAGACCTCTGCCTGCTCCACCCACTGCTGTGCCCTNAAAAATGTGTGCAGAGGAAGGGTATTCTCCACAATGTACTAGTTTTAAAACATAGATAATGTTGCTTCCTTGCTTACAACCCTTCATAGTTTGATCACTGTTCTCAGAATAAAATCCACACTCCTTCCCATGGCCCAAAGCTCTGCCCTTCGTCTGCAGCCACAACTCCTGCTGCTCTCACGCTAGCTCACTACGCTTCGGCCACCTTCAAAAAACCCAAGTTCTTTCCCACTTGAGCTCTTTCTTGAGCTTGGGTGTTCCTTCTGCCTGGAGCATTCTTCCTCCAGGGCTTTAAAAGTCTGACTTATATGAAGGGAAAGTCCACCTGAGGAGGACACCGACACAGAGGGAAGTGAGCAAAGCCAAGAGGCCAGCCAGAGGATTTCTGCTGAGGTCATAGAGCACCCGGGGGTTAGCTGCATGAGAATGGAGACCTCTGCCTGCTCCACCCAATGCTGTGCCCTGGTGTCTGGAACTCGCCCACATGCTGGGCAGTGGCCTTTTCCCTGCGGAACCACATTTGTTACTGCTGCAGTTCCCATAATAAAGCCCAAGTAATACATCACCACACACTGTACAGGATGCACAGCCCAATTCTGTGCAGAGGATGAAAAACAGAGTGTCCAGTACATCTTTCTGGATCATCAAGTTTATTACAAAATTTGAAAGAACCAACTACTTTAATAAGAACCTCCACAAACATGGGAGCAAAGGAGAGCAGGGGAGGGAGAAGGGCCCAGGAAAAACAGCCCAGTCTCTGCAGTTTCATTCAGGTGGGGGCTGAGGGGTGGACTCACAGCAAGGGCAGCCTCTCCTCTTGAACCCAGGGGGCTCCAGGCCATCCTCCAAGCTCAGCAGGTAGTTTGGATGAGACGCTTCTGAAGGCCACAGAGATGTCAGATACCCTCCTGATGTGAATCCCAGGCAGGGAACTCGTGTGCAGTTTGCACACCTCCGTCGTCCCCCGGGCCAGGTCCTCTCACCTTGCACACACAGCATGTATTTCTGGCACCGCTCTCACCCACAGCTGTTTGTATCCATCCTCTGACCATCCACAATTTTAAAAAATTATATTGGCTTGACTCTTGTTCCTTTGAGATGCTGTTTGTTAGTGGATGGCCTGCAGCATGTGAATCTTAAGAGGAAACTGAGGACCCTCCTAGCCACCCTGGCTGCGTCCAGAGGAAGAGGCTGGGGTCCCACCACCGCTGCTGGTGCTGCTGCTGTGGGTGGTAGGGAAGCCCCCAGGGCTGCGTTGGAAGACTGGGCTGGGGACGGCCGTCCTTGACTCTGGGCCCTCTAGGCGCATGGTCATCCTTGCTTCCAGGCTGGCTGGGGGACTGCTTCTCTGCCCTGATGTCTGAACCCCTTGGGTTGGGGAAAGACTGATGTTGGGGTCAGGGGAGGGGCAGGGCCTGAACCCTGATCATGTTGCCCTTCATCTTGGTTTTCGTGGTATCTAGGATTAGATATGTACCCATAATATTATTATATTTTCTTCCTGTTACTGACTCCTGTATCTCCTGCTGCTCAAACCCCAGACTCTTCATTTTTTCTGTGACCTGGGGGTCCGAGTCACCCCAGGGTGGCTCGCTGTACGGTCTCAGTCCCTACGCCTGGCCAATGTTGACCCAGGGCTCCTTCGTTATATCTTCCAGGTTTGGTCTTTGGCAAGGGTCAAGGGTTATTAATATTTTTAAAAGTTTTTTTACATTCTAGAGATAGAAAATAAGGTATAAAGAACTGCCCACTCAAGATCTGCTTCCCAAGTTCCTCAAAGTTCTTCCCCTCAAATGGCAGTTCCCCCGTCAGCATCCTGTACAGCACAACGCCCATGCTCCAGACTTCCACCTTCGGGCCCTCATAGGGTTGGAGCTGCAAGATCTCTGGGGCCATATAGGAGACGGTGCCACAGAAGGTGCACAGATTATCATCTGTAAATTGCCTACAGAGCCCAAAGTTGGCTAACTTAACATCATGTGACTGTTTACAAGAATGTTCTCGGGCTTGAGGTCCCTGTGGGCGATGCTCCTCTGGTGGCAGTACTGCACCGCTGAGAGCAGCTGCCGGAACACGCCTCGGGCTTCCTCCTCCGCCATGGGGCCACAGTTCTCCAAGTAAGCAAGTAAGTCCCCTGCACTCACGTGCTCCAGGAACAGATACAGCTTGTTCTTGGTGGTAATCACCTCAAACAACTTCAGGATGTTTGGGTGATTTAAGCCCTTAAGACAGGAATGAGGAACGTCTGGCCTGTGGGCTATATATGGCCGGTGAAATAATTTGGTGGGACTCAAAATTCAATAAATCTAGGAGCTTTTTATGTAGCTAGCATTTAAGTTGATAATTTTGTATGTCCCGTGAATCATGTTATAAATATCCAAATGCCCTTGGCAGAAAAAAGGTTCCCCACCCCTGCCTTAAGACAATGGACTTCTCGAAAATCTCTAGAAGAGCCCTGCTGCCTCATAACTTTCAGAGCCACCTCAGTGCTGGTCAGAGTGTCCCGGGCCAACCTCACCTTGGCAAAGGATCCCTTGCCAATGGTGTGCAGGACTCAGGATTTCTTCTTGCCTCCTCACATGAGGCAGTGGGGCCAACCTACTCATTGGCCACTGGATGCCCTAGCTCACATTTCCCCTTTTTGTGCCAACGTTTTCTCAGCTTTTGAACTAGTCATCTTAAGAGATGCCAGTCACTTCACGCTGGCTGGAAAGATGGAATGCAAAGAACCTAGGGACTGATTCATAAACTCCCATCCCTCTGGTTCATCACCTTGACAATAGAGTATTGAACATTATAACATAAGAGAGAACAGTTGAACCACTAGATTACTCTGGGCAAGGCATCCTAAACAGAGACTAGGGTGCTACCAAGAAAATGTCTGGCAGTTCAAATTAAGTGGCTTTTTGGTGACTGCAGGATTTTCTCTAGCTTTTGACAGGATATCTATGTGCTTTGTTTGACTGGCAAAGAGCCCAGTGGTCTTGACTTGAAAGAAAGCATCTCAGGGTACCATCACCAGCACATACTCAGCCAACATCAAATTTTATTGAGCAAACACTGAGTGCAAAGCAGGTTCCACTATACATGCAAACAAAACACGTCTTTCTCTTCATGTAAGGCACGCTTTAAAGGATGAATCCAGACAAATGGAGATACTACTCATTTTTCAGTCACTCGTATGAGCACAATTCAAATAGACAGGTGTGAGTGTGTAGGGGGGCTTGTTACAAGGTCTACAAGTGGGCACATGTTTGCATCCAGCTACTGGTTCAGTAAATTGTCTGACTCCCTTACATTTAAAAATGGCATCAAAATCCTGCAGGGACTGTAGAAAAGGAAACAGGATGCACCATTTGTTTAGAAGAGCATCTCAATGTGATACTGTCGGGGAGCATCTGTGTTCATGTCTAACCTGCTACCCCATGGACTATTCTCATAGTGATATGCTTAGTGCCTCCTTCTACAGCTCACCAAAGGTTTCCAGGGAGGGCTGTGGTCTGGTATAAGAGCAGGGCTTCAGACAGAGAGACTTGGATTCGAGTCCAGCTTCACCACTTACAGTCCTCTCCCTGCAGGTAAATGACTAACTCTTGCTTCCATTTCCTTGTCTCTAAAATGAAAGTGATGGCACTGAATTCATATAATTGTTCAGGCGAAATGAGATCAAGTCTAAAAAAAATATCTGTAGAAAGCTTGAAAAGAGTAAGTATTCAAGAAACATGAGTAATTTCCTTATTCTGCGCCCACCCCACCTTGAATTAAAGTGTATGTGTAAGTAAATGAATGGCACAAAGACTTTTGGCAACTGTGATCTGTTTCTCCTATGAATTGTGCATATTGCACTTAAAGTTCACTTCAGTTTCATGGCAACTGTGTATTATCTCATGTTGTTTAATGCTTTAATCACACTACACACTGGTTATACATTTAACCATACTAGATACTGTTTCCCCAGCTGAATGAAAGGTCCTTGAGCATGAGGCTTGTTAGAATCTTTTGTACACGCATTTTTAGGGTATATTTAAAGTGTTCAATATATATTTTTCTCATGACTAATTTGAATAACACGATAAATGCCTATAACCAAATCATAACACTTATCTACTTATTTGCTAGTTTTTTTGAAGGCAGGCACTGCAGCATATAGGTACTTACTGAAGGCCCAGTGTATGTAGGGCACTGTCTTTATACAGCAGTTCTTCCCATCTCGTTGGCCGTTGTGTCCTGATCTTACTCATTTTAGCACTCCCAGATGCAGCATCGTATCCTGTTGCACATAAAAATATTTTATATACGTTTGATGCATAAAAAAAAATAGCATAAATGTTGGTGAAATTGAAACACTTGAGTATGGCTCTATGAATTAAGTGGACGTATATATAGTCAAGGGGAAAATATGTTTACGGATGATCCAAACAGCTCAGGCAATCTAGGTCTTATGGAGTTCTTTCAGCTTGGTGGGGGGAGGGGGCTGACAAGCAATAAGCAATAAAAAAATTATAAAATAAAAGAATTATGCCATATGTTATTTATGATTTATCCATTTATTCAACATATATTTTTGAGAGCTTCTTATGTGTCAGGCCCTGTGTTAGGCCTGAGTATTGATCAATGTTTGTGATACACATACAAAATGTATAGCCTCTTTGAAGATGTCTTCAAAGATTTAAAGTCCAGTCTTCCTGGCCCTTAGCCTCAGGATGGATCTCCACAGAATCCCACCCTGCATGAATTTCTCACTGGTGTAGAATAGGCTTCTGGCCCGACCGGGCATGGCTCAGCAGTTGAGCATTGACCTAGGGATCCAGGAGATTGTGGTTCGATTCCCAGTCAGGGCACATGCCCGGGTTGTAGGCTCGATCCCCAGCAGGGGGCGTGCAGGAGGCAGCCGATCAATGATGACTCTCATTGATGTTTCTATCTCTCTCTCCCTCTCCCTTTCCCTTCCTCTCACTGAAATCAATAAAGATATATTAAAAAGAGAAAAAAAGAATAGGCCTCTGTCCTCTGCCTCTGAGGGATCATGGGGACCACAATGAGATTGGGAGAGGCAGCTGAAGCTTCCTCAGGAGTCCTGCTAGCATAGGGGTATCTCCAGCCTGTCCTCCCAGCCCCATCCTTTCTATCTCCTATGGCCATCCTCTCCCCTGTGGCACTAATTCCTTTAGTCACTGATTGGTCTTGGTGAAGTATCCTGTCCAGTGGTGCCCAGCACTGCCCAGTGGTGCCTCTCGTGGCTGAGTCACAGATTGGCAGAGACTGTTTAGGCTGACCTCACCTCCGGGCCTGGCTGTGGGACACCACAGCTGTGGCCACCTGGTGTGAGCCTGGCCTCCTGTGTTGCTGGGAGAGTGGAACAGAGCCATGCCACCAGAGTGTAGCAGCTGGCCCTGGGTCTGGGAATCCAGGTGCAGGGGGTGCCACAGGGATCAGAGCAGAAAGAGCCAGATCCAGGCCTGGGTGGAGAATGGGCTGGAGCAGGACCCATGATTCAACCTCATGTCCTGGGTGGCTGTTTTCCTGGCTCTCAAGAATCTTCAAAATTCTTTCCCACTTACTTTCCCTCCCAAGGCCAAGACCATAGCTGTGCAGACCAAATGAGGGGTGCTGAACTCCTCACACCCACATCTCTCACAACCACCCACAATGGCAGAAGCATAAATGTGACATGAGCCCTCACTGAGAGGATGCCTGATCAGATTGAGTGCTGACTGTGAGATCGCTGTATTTATGGGAAAGTAGACTTGCTTAAGGATCATGGGGGGACATGCCCCTCCCATACGAGAATCCAGGATTGCTCCAACGGAATGTATACTGAGAACTTCCGTGTGCTGAGAGTTAAACAAGAACTGTCTCATCTCAGGGAGGAGGAAGGGAAAGGGTGGGTCTGGACTAGAGATGCATCAGGATGGGCTCTGCCCAGAACTCTGGGGTCAGCCGGCCCTGAGAAGTAGCTGTGTCTAGGATTAAGGCAGGTTGACCACAAAGAGCTGTGGTCCTGGGCCTTCAAACATGAAGCACTGTTGGCCCAGGGGAGGAGCGCAGGCATTCCCCCTCAGAGAACTGTGATGCTCCAGAGCTAGAGAGATGGAGAGCTTCCACGCCCTTGCGAAGATCTGTTTATTATCCTAACACTAAGACAGCCCCTGCAAAGAATATGGCAGGTCCATCTAATGTGTGAATATAATAAATTGGATTCCATAGTATGTTAAAATAGTTGCCAACCTGGGGATTTTCCCAGGATTACAAGCTTAATTTAACATTATAAAATCCATTGATTAATAGATTAAAAGGAAAAAAAGGAATCTTATGATCATCTCAAAAGACATTTGATAAAATTCACCAGGCATTCGCCATAAAAAGCTGGAAAACCATGAAGAGAAGAAAACATTTTTAACATTTAAAAAAACATACTGTTAACCAAAAGCAAATGTTGGACGTAACACTCTAAAATTCCCATTAAGGTTGAGACCCAAACAATGTCTCTTTCACTACTATTGTGTAGTGTTGCTCTGGACGTTCTCACTGGAACAATAAGGTGAAAAAAAAAAAAATGGGTAAGTAGACGAAATAAGTATAATAAGTAATAGAAAGAGTCAAAGTGGTCATTATTGGCAGACGATATTATAGTTGTGCCTCCATAAAATCCAGGTGAATCCATTGAAAAACTATGTAACTATACAGAGACTCAGTCAGATAGAGCAGAATAAGATAAATTTATATATAGAGAGATTTTAATAGCTTTTAAAAGCATTAAGTCACAACTAATTAGAAATTGTGATGAAAACAACTTACCATTTACAGTACTAGTGACATAAAATATCTAGAAACTCACTTAGGTCACATGGAAGACATAACTTTGCTCTAGGATAGATATAAAGGAAGACAAAATAAACAGAGGCATATGTCACATTCCTTGAAAACTCAATGTTTTAAATTTACTAATTGATAAATTCAATGCAATTCCAATCAAAATTCATTTGGGTGTGTGTGGGATTGGCAAGATGATCTAAGTATTAAATGAAAGAGTAAATATGGATGAAAAACTAAAAATTGGGTTGAAAGAATAATAAAGTGAGATTTTTTCTCTAGGCAT